TTTTTTTTTTTTTTTTTTTCGGCCATTTATTTTAAAGGCAGTATGAAATATATATTGTATTACTTTGGAAAATACAGCTCCAAAAGCAGGCAGTGTGTAAGACTTAAGTTCAATATTTAATTTGCCATAAAATATGAACAATATATCTTTTGAAAGTTGTGAAATTTTCTGTTGTTTAAATCCCCTGTTTGGGAAACAAAATCCCATCTCTCCTGCATTTGTGTAACTTCTTATGTACAAATGCCTTCTACTGCAACAGATCGAAAATAATAATATTCTTGGAGTTGGGCTGATATGAATAGATGTTACCAATTCACAATCAGGAATATGCCAGAATTAGAAAAATGTAATTCAAGTTTTTTTTCTAATGACCTCAATATTTCTGTCTTTTCCTTTAAAATTCTGGAAGGTGGAAAGTAGAGAAAAAATTTATGCTAGGACTAGAATATGTTTTTGAAACTAAATATTTCTGGGATTTTGATTTTTTGAATGCCGGATTAAAAAATATAGGCTTATAAAAAGAAGCCATAAAATTACTTTACTCACAATAAACATCAGATAGATGATAGATAGATATAGATATAGATAGATAGATGATAGATGATAGATAGATAGATAGATAGAGATCTGTAAAAGGTTAGCCCTATATAGTTTAATTTCTTTAGCCACCATAGAAAGGAAGGCAAACATAGGTTTTGATGACGTAAAACACGCCATTAAACAATAGCTTTAAATTGCCATAGATTCAGTGTAATATCCCTACAATACTGTCCTGAGATCTGGGCCAACCTAACCTGGTCCTATACTCCATGCTTTAGAGAGTCTCCACTCTGGCCTTCTCTGCCAGGCTTTGTGGCCAAGAGACGAAGGGATTGTGACCCACCAACCAGCAGTGTCCTCCCTATCCATCGCTTCTTGACCACTGTAGATACTCAGGTCCACCCACCCAAGGGAAGACTACTCTGCAGGCTTGCACTACTCTTTGGTCCGAGGATGTTTTTTTCTTAGGGCTGAGAAGGGCGGTGGGCAGAGCATGGACATGTGAGCTGAGGTGTCTACACATGTGCAGAGACTCTCATGGTGCAGGATGGGTCTGGGGTGGGAGAGAAGGAAGGTAAATGCTTCGACTGGGACCGCCTCACCAAGGACTCCATGACCCCTAGAGGAAATCTGAGAAATCCAAACATTCTGCTCTAGACCCTGCCTTCCAGGTGGTTGGGAAGGCAGATTTGTCAAAGTAAGCAATAGAACTCATTTAAGAGTCTGTTAGTTCCATCTATAACTTTTTAAAATAATTAGAAATACAGCATGCTGACATTAATACATGTCGTGCTCTTGCCCTAGTTCCACAGATGTTAGGTGCAAGCCTGTCCCTATGGGGAATTTCTTTTTCTTATTTGCATAAGTAATAGGGGAAAATTAAATTCTGTTTGAGGGCGTTTTTGCTAAGATTTAGGGGAAAGGAATTACCTGTCAAGGAGTGGGATTTGAGAGGTGTTGTTTGTAGTTGTAAAATCATGCTGTGATCTACCATTTATTTATTCTAATTCATCTTTTTTGCTCTTGAGTCTATCCAAAAATTCCTTTATAATATACACAATCCTGCCATTTAAACATTCTTGTTAATTTATGTGAAATTACAACAGAATACAATAATTCCCCTCTTAACTGCAGGGGATACATTCCAATACCCTCTGTGGATGTCTGAAAGCACAGGTAGTACCAAATTGTGTATATACTATGTTTTTTTCCTATACATAACTATAATAAAGTTTAATTTATAAATTAGGCACAATAAGAGATTAATAGCAATAACTAATAATAAAATAGAACAATTATAACAATATGCCAGCATCACTACTCTTGTACTTCAGGGCCATTATGAAGTAAAATAAGGGTAATTTCTACACAAGCACCACGATACCACGACAGTTGATCTGATCATCCAGAGGGCTCCTAAGTGACTAATGGGTGGGAGCATCTACAACGTGGATGCACTGGACAAAGGAATGATTCATGTCCCAGGCAGGCCAGAGCTGGACAGTGCAAGATTTCTCCGGCTACTCAAAATGGTCCATAATTTAAAACTTATGAGTTGTTTATTTCTGG